TTCACAGTTTATTATTTTTAAATTTATATTGATAAGTGCTATTGGTCTATAAGATGTTTCTAATGTTTTGTCTTTGCCCGGTTTTAGGATTGGTATTATTTTTATGATTAGCCATTCATCTGGTATTTTTTGGGTCATCCAAACTTCATTTGTGAGCTCAAGTATGCGTATTAATAGATCAGATTTTATTTGTTTTAAGAAATAATATGACAATTTATTTTGTCCAGCAGCAGACGTATCTTTTTTCTCTTTTATTGTTTTCATCATATTTTCAATGTTTAATGGTTGTACATATTTTTCTTGTTCTACGTTGTAATTGTAGAATTGTAAATTTGTGTTACTTTCTTGCTTGAAGTTTAATTCTAGAAATTTATTTGCTAGAGTTTTATTATTTAATAGTTCTATATTATCTTTATTTTTGTAGGTACCACTGACACATCTTACTATTTTCCACATTTTATCAATAGTCGTATTTTCATTGATTTCCTGTAACATATTGCTTCTGTATTGCATTACTTCTTTCTTTAGTGCCACTTTAAAATTTCTTTCTGCCTTTTTAAATTCATGTTTGTTTTCTAGGGTTAGATTTTGTCTGAATTTAATATGTTTTTTATTTTTTGTTTCGTAAAGTTTTTTGATGTTTTCATTCCAGTAAGGTTTAATTTTTTTCTTGCTATTTGGGTATATTGTGTAGGTAGCTTGTTTTAATGCTTCGTTAATTTCATTATTTAAATCATTTATATTTTTAAGAGATTTAGGATTAATTTGATTTATATTATGAATTGCTTTTCCTTTGTTAATTAATGTTTTTGGAATATTATTATCAAATTTATTGAATGCGTTTATTACACATTCGATTAATTTGTGATCTGATCCAAAGTCTTCTGTACTGGTTTCCCAACTGATTTTCGTTCCTAATTCTGCTGATGTAAATGTAAGATCTACTGCTGATGGTCTTTGATTCAAGTCTTCCCATCGGGTTGAAACTCCTGTATTTAGGAATATTATATTACTGAGTTCTAGTAGCTCACTGATGAACTCTCCTCTTCTATCTGTTTTGTCAGTTTGATTATCCCAAATTGGGTTGTGGGCATTGAAGTCCCCCCCTAAGAGGATTGGGGTTGAACTTTTATCCATATAGTTAAAAAGGTTTTCTAGATGATTTTTAATTTCTGATAATGTAGAGTCTGGTGGAATGTAAATGGATATGAATATTATAGGTTGTTTCAGATTTTTTATTTTTACTGCTGTTAGTTCTAAGTCAATATTTGGGAATGTAATTTCTTCAAATATGAGTGTGGGGTGAATTAATATTCCTGTACCCCCGTAACCATCTATTCTACAGCTTTTTACGAAGTTGTAGTTAAGAAATTTATATTTTTCGTCTGGCTTAAGCCAAGTTTCTTGAAGTAGAAATATGTGAATATTTTTGTTTTTTAGGTATGTTTTAATTGTTTCTCTTTTATGAAGAGGTCTTAAACTGTGAATGTTTAATTGGGATATATTTAAGTCTCCTAAGTAGGATTGATCCATGACTTCAAAATAAGATTTATTATGTTTTATGTTGTTCTTTTGTTAGACTTAATAAGTTTTGTATCATTGAACCAATCGCGATCAAAAGTAAATCTGATTCTGTCTTGTTGTCGATTTTTTTATCCGTGATTTTGGAAAAGATGTTTTGTAGTAGTATTGTAAGGTTTTGTTTTTGTGTGGTTTGTAGTTTTTCAGCTTCTGTGACTTTATGTGAGTTGTAATTAATAGTTCTGACCTGTTCTGGGATTATTTCTACTGTTGGGTAAGTATTTTTTTAAATTTCCGATTTATAATTGTTTGTCTGATTTGGTGTGTTATTTTGTGTTAGATTTTGCACAATTTGTTTGTAGTCAATTTTTGTCTTGTTCGAGTTATTTACTTGTCTGAACTCTCTGTTTGTCGTACTTGGTTGTTCCATTTCAGGGAAATCAACGGTAGATTCCAGAAGAGCATAGCTGTTCCTAGTGCTAATTTCAGGCTTTGGATATAGTTGTTCTGCTTCTTGATATGTCATTTTGTTCACTGTCATTGCAACATTTACATGTTCCATTCTTATGCGTTCTGGGCAATCCTTACTAGTCGGTAAATGATCTCCTCCACAGTTCCTACATTTTCGTCTGTTCGTTTTCTGACATTCTGTGTGATCTTCTGTCTCGTATTTTCCACATTTAATACATGTCGTCTTACTCTTACATGCTACATTTTTATGACCTAACCTCCAACATTTTGTGCAAATTCTGACAGGATAAATGTAAATTTCTGGTTTCGCATAAACTCCGTATATTTGGATTGTTCTTGGTAGTTGTGAACCGTCAACGGTTATTTTCACAGATCTTGTATCGATTAGTCCCGATCGTGTGTCTTTCGGATCTTTCCTTCGTTTTATTCTTTCTACTCTGATTATCTTTTTTTCACTTACTGCATTTTGATAGATTTCTCGCACTGTGATTGTCGTAGGTATGTTTTTAATGATTCCCGTAGTTTCAAGTAACATTTTTGGAATGAAAGCTTTGTAATTATTGTTTTTTAATGTTTGTGTTGAATTAAGGATTTTTTCTGTGTCTTTTGGTTTTTTGTATGTAAGTTTATATCTGTATTGTCCTGCTCGTTTGAGTTCTGTGAATTGGTCAAGTTTCATTTCATGTAAAAATTTACCCACTTCCATGGGTTCTAGCAAGTTTTCACCTTCCCTAATCGAGATTGGTTCAATGAATACTACATTGTGTTGGTCGTTTTTAACCCAGTTATGTTGTTCTGGTTGATTTTTGTTGTTTTTTTCTGTTGGTTTTGTGGTCGTATTATTTTTGCTTGTGCTTGGTGTTTGTGAGTTGACTGTAGTGGTAAAAGTTAGTGTTTGTTTTTGTGTATTTGATTCTGATTGTTGTTGTGATTGTTTTGTTTTTTTGAGTTGTTTGTTTTTGTCTTTGTTTTCTGTATATTTGTCTCGTCTTTTCCTTGTTCTTTGTTCGTCTGTGTTTGTTTCCATTTCGTCTTCCGGAAATCCCTCAAAGAGGTCATTGTCAGATAGGGGTAACGATATCTCCAACCATTCCTTACCTTTGTCTGGTGGTAAGTTGGGACCTTCTTCCCGTGTGTCTTCCATACTTGGTTTTACCCAAGCATGAAAACTTAACCTAACCTAACTTAAAAGATTACTTACTTTTTTTCTCTTTTTTTACTATTTACACCTTAAAAACTAACGATCACTAATAAGAATATCACTCTATTTGATATTACAAGTATTTACACTAAGAAAAAAACTGTTAATTTATCGAATTCAAAGGAAAATAAAGAAATTTTGTATCAATCCAAACGCACGCGGTTTGTAAAATTCGCTTCACTACACTTGACGCACTATATGGCTTGGTTCGTGTGGTCCGCTCTTAACGACGGTTTGAGGAGAAGTGCTCCTTGGTCATTCGAAGCTCATTGTCACTGTCAATTGAGTTACTCACTATCATTTGATATACGACAGTGGAGTATGGAAGAAATCCAGCAAAATGGTCCCGAACAGACAAGTTGACCCGATGTCGGATCAATGTAAAGCTAATTTAAGGTCAATGTCGACCCAATGTCGTGTTGTTGTCGGGTCAATTTTGGGTTTATGTCGGGTCAACATCGGGTTGGGGTTTGATAGAAGTCAGGTTGGTGTCGGGTTGGCTTAGCTTTTTCGCCGGAATGTCGACCAGAGCACCGTTTGTGTGTATGTTACACTCAATTGAATGATGTATAGCGTTTCTCAAATGAGAATGATCCATGCCTTCGTCAAATGATTAAGCAACTTATATCACCCATTTGGAGGAGGTCCCCTTTTGATAGCGAATAGCTACTTTTCTCATTTTCGTTAAAAATGATCAAATGATTTTGAGAATTTACAGCACTGATTGGGACCATTTCCCCTACTTATTTCCAAATCTAAACTTAAGTGCAAAATAAAAAAAATACAACCTCTCACTTGGTCATTTTTAGCATCAGACAACGGGCACGTGCGCTCTACTCGAAGTTCCATATACTAGAGTATTAAGTAATCTAAAACCTAGTTATAGAATCTCTCAAAAATCCAAATTCGGGTTCCCAGGGTAGACCATACTTAGATTTGGACCTGTCGCCTTGTATGAAAAGGCATCATTCATAAAGAATGTCATGCTTCGAGGAGGAATATGTACACTGAAAAAAGTTTTCATATAGTTTCCATTGGGAACGCACATGATATTTTTCCAATTACAACTCATATATGAGTGATGAATATCACGCCCTGACTAGTACTGCTTATAATCGCATATAAGTCCCATATGGATTTTCGTCAATTTTAAGATAACAATGTTATCCGCTATCAATTGGCATCTACTTTCATATTACGTGCAAAAACTACGAACTTTGATCATGAAAAATGTGAAACCAACATCAAGTCAGTTTGTGCCATCATGTTGATGGGACGAAACTCTTCGGCTTTAATCGTTCCAGCAACTTTTTGAATTTATTTATTTATTTCGTCAACCAACGTAGACTAGTACATATTCGAATACAGTTTTGTTTTCTTAAATTTATTTATTTATTTCGTCAACTTTGGACAAAAGGTTATCATCAGACCCATCCTGAAAATACAGTTACAGCCGTGGTTTTTGCATCGCCATATTTTCGCAGACATAACAAAACATGCAAGCTTCATTGAACTGATTTCAGCTTGAAAATTTATCATTTAATTTACAATGATTTTTCAAATATTTACACGAGAATTGCACTTCGTAACCTCAACTGCCATTTTGTCAAAGCGAACTTGAGATGAGATTATATGCAGTGAAGCACTCAGAGCATACATACTGTGCACAACGATCGGTGATGTTATGCAACACAAACTATGATCATCCTTATATAACCCAGCCCATCCTAACTACATCCACACTCTGCATAACATCACTAGCCTACCTACCATATGGAGTTCTTTCAAGTTCTCAGGAAAAAATGTGTTTTTTACCGTATTCAAAACTTTATAGTTCATCTAGTTTTTCATTAGGGTGATGAATAAGGACAGTGAGAATGTTTGAAATTAACCCATGCCACGGATTAGTGGCAACATCCGGCTTACTAAATGCTACCTGGGACACTCAAAGGTAAGTGAAAAGATTGCAGAAAATGTGTCTACCTGATTCTTCGGTGGTTTAATCCGAAGAAGATGTCGATGAAGATGATGACGAACGGCGACGTGGTTTCTTCTTCTTATCGCGTTTCTTCTTGCGCGATGATCTATCGCCACCGGATGAACTGGACGACGAAGATGACGAGCTTGAAGAGGTGCTCCTGCGCCGTTGCTTTTTCTTGCTTGTGCCGCTGGAGCCTTTGGCTTTTACCGTCGAAACGACTGTTTCGAGAATCTTGTGTGCTGCTACGAGCTTCATGCTGTCGTGAGCTTGTAATTTTTCAATTGTTTCCTTCTTGAGCTTTTCAAGCTGCGCGATTTCGAGGGCTGCTTCTAGTTTTTCCTTTTCCTCCTTTTGTTTCTGCTTCTCGCGAGCCTTACGTTGCTGCTCCTCGATTTCCTTTTCCATGTGATTTTTAAGCAGCAAAAGAGTTTCAGCACGTTTGAGCATTTTCTCTTTCTGCAAGCGAGCTTTTTCTTCTTCGGTCGGCTCTTGCTTGACCACCGGAACGGTGGCTTCAGGCGTCTTTTTGCGTTGCGGTTCTGGGGATGATTTTTTGTCAGATTTCCTTGAGCGTGATCGTGAGCGAGAATCGCTGCTGTGTCGTCTGTCACGGCGACGAGAATCAGATCGACTTCTGCTTCTGCGATCATAGCTTCTTGATCGTGAACGATCTCGTCGGTAACGACCCGATGAGCGCCTGTGTTCAAGACTACGTGAACGGCGATTACGATCAAAGCGTCCCCCTCCAAATCCTCCACCTCCTCCTCCTCTTCCACGAGGAGAGAAGAATCCACGTCTTTGTTGCCAACGGCCGACAAACGGTCGTCCTCCACCTCTACGATATGGCACTGGCGAACGATCTCTGTAGGATCGGCGTCGTTCTTTCGAACGGCTTCTAGAAACGACTCGTGTACGATCTCTTGAGCGACTTCTGGAGCTATCTCGTTTTCGATCATCTCGTCGGTTCTCACGAGATCTATCTTTTTTAAGCTCCCGATTCCTCTCCGGAGTTTCATCTTGCCTGCTGATATTCTTATTATTATTCTCGTTTTTATTTTCTGGAGGAACCTTTAAATTGTCTGCTGGTTCGCTTTCGATCGGTTTCTTGGTTTCCAAACCAAAAGCTCTGGCAATCGTTTCATTGCGAGGATTCTTCGCTGCTTCATCGTCAGAATACGTTCCCTGATCTTCATAATCCAGTGCGTTCATATCGATTGGTTTGTCTGGTTCGTTTTTCTTTCCATCGTTATTATCGCTTTGCTCGTCATGGGTGTGTGACTGTTGGTCCTTCTCCTGATTTAACTCGAAAAATGATTTCTTGGAAGCATCCTTAGCCATTTCTTCGTGGCGTTTCTTCCGTTCAGATTCACGTCGTTTGATCTCGCCTTCACGTTGACGCTTTTCGTCTTCCATTTTCTCCAAATCCGTCATCTTAATCGTGCGTTTCTGAGCAATCTTCCAGTGAATGGGAGTTAAACTGCGCGATCTTGACCGGGAGCGCGATGGGGTGCGGTAGCGCTACGAAGATAAGGCAGAAAAATTTAATTTTATTATAAGGTACAATGCTGCATGAAACATGATAATACTTACGAAATTTCCGCGCCCTTTGATTACACGCCCGCTCTTCGAAATCGGTACCCGTCTCTTAGACCATCCAAATCCTCGCTGCTCCCGTGACCTATCTCGTTCTCGTCTTCTTCCACGATCTCTGTCGTCATCTTCGTCCTCATCACTTTTCTCCTCATTTTGTCGCTTTCTGCCATCTCCACGCATTAGATATTTGTTTGACACCTAGAAAGGAGTGTTTAAATAACCGCATTTTATTTAAGTTAGTCATTTCAATAATAAATACCTCGGGTATCTCATTTGGATCTATCTTGGTCACCGTTGTCAGTGGGTGCACTTCAGCTTCTTCCTTCAGTTCACCTTCTTCGAGATTATTTCCATTTTTATCCCTGAAAAACAAAACTGGAATGTCATTCTTCATTACATGATTTTCAAAACCTTCTTAACATACTCTTTCTCGCCTTTTGACTTTTTGTCCTTCTTTTTCTTTTTTTCCTTCTTGCGCTTCTTGGATCCTTCTACTTCCGAATCATCGCTGGAACTGGATTTTGATTTCTTTTTCTTCTTTTCTTTTTTTTCTGTGATAATATACATAAATGCAATCAAACGAAATAATGTGTTAATAAGAAGTTGTATAGAGTGTAGCGTATGTTTGCAGAACAATTGGCAGAATACCTTAAAATATTTGGATAAACTTATATATTTAGAATTGACACTGATCAATTTATAACTGACTTAATTGTCAGTGCTTTGAAAATACGAATTGCAGTGATTTTACCCTTTTCTTCCCAGAAGGTTTTTCGTTGTTTGAGATGCAAATACGTGTTTTTGAAAAAAAGTGCTATACACAGTGTAAAATGATCGAATCCGTTAAAACAAGTTGTTGATTAATATGGTTAATATGGCTACAAAATGGTGAGTTGACAACCTGGAAGGAGCAGGATACCTAGCTCTGGTCCTCACAAGTCCTACCTCACACCTGAGGAAATGCTTCACCAACCCCGAGCGTCTGTTCACCATGGAGGTGCGGCTCAAAACGGCGTCTGTTCTCCATATTAGGAGCGGTTGATACCCGTCCTAGTGCCAGCGTGGGACTCTAAACAGAGCTGTGCACGATGTTCCCCCGGCGAGACAGCTTCTCGTAGAACTTTTGTGTGTCTTTTACGAGGTACAGATTTTCCATCGCCTCGCGATCTCGGTTTTCTTGCTGACGGTTCTTCCTTCGGAAAACCGAGTTTTGTCTGTTCCGCGCTTGCAGCATTTTTGCCCGTGCTGCATTCTTATCCTCTACTAACAGTTTGCATTCGCCGTCAAACCAGTCATTTCATCGGTCCAGGATCGCAGTACCTAGTGCCGCTGCAGCAATACTACCTATGGCGGAACGGATGTCCTTCCAGTAATCTTCAAGAGAAGCTGCGCCAAGCTGCTCTTCCGTGGGTAGTTCAACTTCCAGCTGCTGCGCGTAATTATGGTCAACTTCGGCGTCCCGTAATTGCTCAATGTTGGGTCGCGGCGTTCGACTTCGACGGGTGTTATGCACCGTCGAGAGTTTTGAGCGCATGCATACTGCAACTAGGTAGTGGTCCTAATTTATATTCGAACTGCGGTACGTGCGGACGTTGTCGGAGAAAAATTTCCCATCAATTAGAACGTGATCGATTTGATTTTCTGTGTGTTGGTCATGTAATCTCCAGGTGGTTTTGTGGATATCCTTGCGGGGGGAAAAGGTATTTCGTTACCATACCACGGGAGGCCGCAAAGTTCACGCATCTTTGGCCGTTGTCGTTCGATACGGCACGAAGGCTGTTTGGCCCGATTGCTGGTCTGTACATTGCCTTCCGTCCTACCTGAGCGTTCATGTCGCCTATGACGATTTTGACGTCCTGTTGCGAACAGCCGTCGTACATCTGCTCCATTCAATCACGCGTTGGCGCATCTTACCCAGCACTACGAAGCCGGTTCCCAGCTTGTTGGTGGTGCAACAGCTCTGGTAGAAAGTAGCCGCTCGGTGCCCGCTTTTCCATACCTTTTGTCCCGTGCAGCAAAGTTCCTGCAGTGCTACGACTTCGAAGTTGCGTGGTTGAAGTTCGTCGTAGATTAACCTATCGCAGCCCGGGAAGCCGAGCTATTTGCAATTACATGTTCCGAGTTTCCAATCGTAATCCTTATTTCGTCACGTAGGTCTGTTCCGATTGTTCCGATCCGTATTTCTTTCTTCAATACAACGTGCTCACACATCATTTGTTCATCCATTTCAAATCCGCATACGATAAAATACGATTTCTGGAACTGTCGCTATTGGTCAAGGCGACGATGGATCGAGTGATGTGCGATGTTCGAGTATCGGAGACACTCTCGAGTCCCTTTGAATCTCGAAGCGGGTTACGGCAAGGTGATGGACTTTCGTGTCTACTGGTGGTCCTCTACGGCCAAGAGACCTGAACTATGCTCGTGAAGGATCAACGTAAGGTGTTGCGTACCATCTACGGTGAATTGCAGATGGATGACAAAACGTGGAGGAGGCGAATGAACCACGGTCAAGTAGAAGGCGACCTGCGGACCCTTGGCCATGGATCGAATAGAGTGGAGACGACTTCTTCGGACAGCAGAGGACAACAAGGCCTTAGCCTGATTGGTAAGTAGAGGACGCCAAGCGGCCGACGCTGCAAAAGAAAAAAAAACAAGTGGAAGAAGCAAGGGTGTTGAGGGCACGGATGAAAGCGGAAGCTAATCTCAAGTCGCCACCAAGGAAGAGTAAGAATTCTTACTCTTCCTTGGAGGCGACTTGAGATTAACTTCTGCTTTCATCCGTGACCTCAACTCCCTTCCTTAAGGAGTCACAAACTATGTCCTTCTTAATATTTTTTCCTCGAATATGCATAGTTAATAGCCTAAATTGAGTCCTTTATAGTTGTTCGAAACCGAAGTGACCACATCGCCATCTGAATGTCGATCATCAACGGACTCCCTACTGGTCATTCACCGTTGATCACTGTTCAACAGCCGAACCGCAGCATCTCCACCACTACCGCAAATCTTCTTGAACGATTGGACCCACTAGCATAGCGTCGTTCAGGGAAATTCCGGTAGAGCTCTTGCAAGAAGCATCGAAGACGACACGGACCTTGGTTGTACTGCTCTCCTCGCGAATGACTGGATGATGTTGAAGGAAGTATGCAGGCTCTGACACTGCATCTGATTCATCGATTCGCTCCATGTGTCCCAACTCTTCGTACTCGTCCATGAATTTCCGATACTCGGCGGTTAATTTTAGATCGCGCCCGAAACGATCAGGCGGAAACGGTGGAGTGCAGTACGTCTATTGTCTCCTAAATTGTCCAGAACTTCTTCCTTGAACGGTACTCGTGCCATGTACCGTCCATCTTCGCAGCGAAGAGTAGTTTCACTGAAGAATTTCTCGCAGTAGCCTTCGGATGCAGAGTGGACGACCGTTGAATCGTCCTCGATGGCCCAAAATCGCTCCATATCACGATGGATGTCGGCAGCGGTAGCGACGTTGTAGACTACGGAAGACCTCGAATGTTGTTCAGGAGTTTTGCCGCTGATAATCCAACCGAAAACCGAATTAACCAGACACGGAAGAGATTCGCCCAAATTTATTCGACCAGCAACATTGAAGAGATCGAAGAACACCTCGGTCCCTAACATAACATCTATGGCTCCGGACTGGTAGAATGATGGATCAGCTAACTGGATTCCTGTCGGGAGCGACCAACTCGACGCGTCGATGGAGATTGAAGCCTGTCTCAATTCACAGCAGCTCACCAATCTATCCGAGGATCCGTCAGACTTCCAAGCCCTAACACCGGGACACTTTCTGATCGGTTCGTCCCTGCAGTCCGTCCCAGACGTCGACTATGAATCGATTCCAGCAAACCGTCTCCACCAATGGCAGCTCATCCAGAAACTGCCCCAGGATATCTGGAAACGCTGGCACGTGGAATACCTCGCTTCGCTACAACCACGTAGTAAGTGGTGCAAACCGCCTGTACCACTGCACAAAAATCAGCTCGTAGTCATCGTAGATGAGAACCAACCACCAATGCGCTGGGCCACTGGAAGAATCCACGATGTACACCCCGGAAAGGACGGCGTAGTACGAGTAGTCACTATGCAAACTGCAACAGGATGCCTCACTCGTCCTACGGAAAAAATATGCGTACTTCCAATACCACCATCAGTCGACGATCAACCATCAGCAGCACCGCAACGGCGGTCGGGCTAGAGGTTTCCTTTGTGGATCAACTTGGCCAACAGGATGGTTTCTGCTAAAGCAGATCAACCTATCTCATCAAGTCGCTGACAATAATTCAAAATACAAGGCCCTCAAACTGCAGGGTCCAGGTAAGGACCTGTCCAATCTCGATTGGGACGCCGGAGACTTCAGAAATGGTAATTTCTGCCGGGAGCAGTATGTTCGATACCGAAGTGACCACATCGCCATCTGAATGTCGATCATCAACGGACTCCCCACTGGTCACTCACCGTTGATCACTGTTCAACAGCCGAACCGCAGCATCTCCACCACTACCTACCGGAATATGTGACGATCAAATGGACCGAAACGATCGATCGTAGATCGAATACATTTCAGTGCACCTCGAGCCATACACTAGGCAATAGCATGCCGGAGACGTCCGTCGCGTGTTTAATTTAATTTGTTTATGTTCGTCAATGTAGTAATTAAGATGAATAAAGTTATTAAGTAAAAATGTTGGTAATAATAAACGATTTTGTGTTTATGTTGGTGTGAACATTAGTGTATGATCCGGAGAACACCCTACGCTGCATCCTTCAACAAAAAATAGTCATTTTTGCGTACTTTGCGGTTTCCGTGTAAACACATACACTAGGGTGGGTCAAGTTTTTATCACAACCCCCTGTTCCTCCCCTGCTCTTCCGATCTGATCTGGATTTGCGGGATAAATTTAAATATTGTATGGGAAAATGAAAGGTAAACGAATCGAACTTATTAATTTGATTGCCATAATTCAAATATTGTTCAAATTTCACCAAATTTCGGGAAAAGATTGGAAATACTACGCAGAATCACTTTGTCGAAGACTGCAAATTTCTGAGAGCCAAGTGTTCCACACGTACCTACAAACGTGTGGAACACTTGGTCTAAAGTGAAAGATTAGTAACTGTTTGTACAAAGATCAAATCGATTTGCAGTCATCGACAAAGTTGTTTTATATAGTATTCCCAATCTTGTGCAATATTTGGATTTTAAGCAAATGAATGGGATCGTTCCGTTTCCCATACATTTTACCATACCAAGCTTAAAAATCTCCCTCAAATCGAGATTATAACCAAATTTGTTAAAAATTTGCACAGTTGTTGGGGCCCTCAGCATTGAAAAAGCAGTGAGGAACAGGGGGTTGTAAATTATGACACACCCTAATATATACTGTCGTAAAAATGCCAGGGTACATTGAAGTGTAATAGAAGTTTGGACATTTACGAGGGAATAGACGTTTACACAATGCGCTTTGATAATACCCCTATTATTTATTAGGTTGAGGCTCTTCATAAATCTTCGACGCACTCTTTGGACAGCATATTCATCCCAGAGCATGATCTACCGCTGGAGATTAATCGGCCTTTCATGCCACGGGAACTCGACCTAGCACTATCCAAGGCTACCGGGAAATCGACTGGACCAGATGACGTCCGGTACTCCATGCTAAAATACCTATCACCGGACTGCAAAACCACACTCCTCAGACTTCTCAATAGAGAATGGCTGGATTATTCCATTCCAGAAGACTGGAGACACAGCCTAGCCGTCACGATCCCGAAACAGAGCACCTCGGGTCGCGAGCCGAAGGACTTCCGACCGATATCTTTGACATGTTGCGTCACTAAGGTGCTGGAGAGAATGGTCAATCGTAGGCTCGTGCTCTACTTGTAGAGTAACGGCTACATTGACCACCGCCAGCACGCTTTCCGTCCTGGACACGGTACTGGGACCTACTTCGCCACTTTGAACCAGGTACTTCGAGACGCGAGAGATTCATCTATGCATGCTGAACTCGTTACGCTACACATCTCTAAGGCTTATAACAGGACATGGACGTACTTTCTAGGTTTGCATAGGAAACCATAGATCAAGAGGATTCCCAGAGGAGACAGGCGTCCCGCAAGGTTTGGAGATCGCAGTTTTGTTGTTTCAATACGGATAAACGGAGTGTTCCACAGTTACCCAAAGAAATATACGTCTTCGTGTATGCAGACGATATCGTCTTGGTGGCGGTCGGCTCCACAGTGAAGGCCCTTCGCAGGAAACTAAACGCGGCCACGAATGCAGTTCTACCCGTCGGATTCTACCTCTGGGTGGAGAAATGCGCGTATACCCACATTTGTCCGTTCAATCACCAGGTGCTCCGCTCTCCTATCAGCGTCGACGGAAGGATCATGTCGTTTAAGAAGTCTATCCGCGTCCTAGGCATACGCCTGGATCGGCATTTAAACTTTGGAGACCATTTCAACGAAGTGAAAGGTAATTGCCAAACGAGATTCGGCTTGCTGCGGACATTAGCCAGGATGCATCTAGCGAACAACCGTGCTGTCCGGATGCACGTGTCTAAAGCGGTAGTCGATTCAAGATTGACATAGGTATAGAACTGACTTGCCTAGCTGCCGACAGAATGATTTCCCAACTGTCGGCAGTCGTCAACACTATCAGGCCATTAGAATCACATCAGGTCTCCTCCCCTTCACCCCCTCCACTCCAGACTTGCAGCTTGTATGGAGAGCGGAAGGCAGAGGGCAGTTGGCTTCACAGAGAAGACAACTGGATCAAGTGATGGAGTGTCCCTCCTTATGGAGGAGAACAAACTCCTGAAGGACGCCGCCGACCTGGAGCTCCCCCCGGTAGCCGGGGTCCACTGGTGTGGAGCCAGGGGTTGGAACTCACCCGGACTTTCTATCGACTTGGCGATGAAGAATAGATTCCGGGCGGGAACCACTACCCCGCACTAGTGAGATCGGTGGCCAAACTACAACGAACCAAGTACCTAAATCACCTAGCACAATACACTGACGGATCCCGAACAAGCCGAAGGTATTGGGATATCCGATCCGGAGATACGCACCTTCTACCGACTTCCGGACCCTTGCAGCGTTTTCTCTGCTGAAGCTGCCGCCATACTAGTAGCCGCCACCTCGCCTACCAACAAACCTGTCGCCATATTTTCTGATTCGGCCAGCGTATTAACAGCTCTTCAGTCAGATACAGCCAAGCACCCCTGGATTCAGGCTATCCAGAAGCTCGCTCATAAAGGAACAACTTTCATCTGGATCCCAGGACACTGCGGGAGAGGAGGAAACCGACCATCTGGCGGCATCCGGAAGACAGACAAACTTCTATACCCAAAAGATCCCTGCTCAAGACATCAAGCGGTGGATCGTGACTACAGTATGGAACTGCTGGACAAATGAATGGCTGCGATCTCAAGATCTTTTTATCCGAAAAATTACAGGGGCCACCAGATGGGTGAACACCGATCTCAAGTAATCGCGGCTGAGAACCGGTCATACCAAAGCCTCTCACAACATGGGAGGCGGAGGTCCATTTAGGAAGCAATGCGAGACATGCAATTTGCTACATACAGTGTAGCATTTCCTATGCAACTGCCCCTAGTACTACGGACCACGCATCCAATACGGGATTTCAGCAAGCGTCAGGGACACCCTGAGTTAAAACTTCTGTAGCACCACAGCGCTCTTCTCCTTTCTGCGGGAGACAAATGATTAAACTACTATTGGCAACAACCACAGACTCAAAACGGACGAGCGACTATATTAAGACGATACACGAATAAGGACACGAAAATGGACGGATGATGGCACGAAATTACGCACAGCGACAACAATGGATTATGACAAGGACCAACTACTAGACACACCGCAAGTTATCTGAATATCTGCCAACAAAACCAACTCCGTTATTATAACTCTGTCTAACACAATTGTACCCTTTACACATCAGGGGGGTCGCTCTCTGAAGCCCTCTTTCCCTTTTAAGTGACGAACCAGCCAAAAAACACTTTTATATATTTTTGGTTTTGCGAGAAGTCTCAAGTGCATGGGCCACTCATGGAGGTGAATGGAACATAGTGATCGCATCAAACTATAATGTTTAAAACGAACCGCAGGCCCAAACAATGAGAGGACTAGTATTGAGCCCAATTTTGAAACCTTCATGTTCATGGAATTCGAAGCAACCTGTTATTTTTTTCCATTTAATCAGAATATGCCTCTGTACCAAAACAATAAATCCCATAGTACCAGAAGATCAAAATCAAATTCCTGCAATAATCCCCATGCACTCTACATGCTGAACCGTGGATAGTCAAATGCATACATATTAAATTATATTTATATGTAGGAAGTATTATATAGTTGATTGGAAATTACTTATTTTGTTGCTGAATTTTGTATTATAAGTGATAATTTTTTTAGGATGGCAAATCTGCCTCATGTTCCTCTAAGCATATTAATCACCTAATACTGGAAAATGATCTACATGTAGACATATGTTCCGGGGAAATGATGTTGAACAGTTGATTTGTTTAGTGCCAAAGTTGGTTATCTTACCTTTGACCTGACGTACCAACTCGCCACAGTTGGCAACGACGGCGTCCTGCAGAGGACGAGAGTTTCTATCGACTGGCAGTTGTTCCAACTGCCGTACTAAATCATGACCGGAAACTACGTGTCCGAACACTACATGAACGCTGCAAAGCAAAAGGAGAAAAAAAGACAATAATTAATTTCATGCTACAGGTGCAACTATTCCCAAAACTTACTTATCAAGATGGGGTGCAGGTTGCGTTGTACTACAATAGAAAAAGAGAGAACAAAGAACAAAACAATTGATTGCATATGCTTTTGGTTTTCTGGTGGAGTAGTTGTTATTTGGTGGATTGTTGGGTATAATATTTGGTGCGTCTCCTGTTGGTGGCTATCGTATTTCATTTCGGATCTGGTTACCATAGCTGCCCCATTTCCGGCAGCTTGCCCAATGTGGGCACGACGCGAATCCAAGCGATAGAAATTGAGCAACGAGTCCTGTCAAAATCTTACACTGCCCAATGTCTATCGTACTTGGCTCGGTCTCTAGAGATCAAGTGCACCTCTCTGCCTGTAACAGTGTTTAGTGCTGCAACTATTGGTACATTCGTTCCTGAGCCACGAGACACACACGGAGATGGTCACTAGACATTCGTTGTAGCAGATGCGGCACTCAGATTCTTTGTCTTGCTCTACACACAACATAAACAAGGTACAAGAAATTGTACAATACTATTAAAATCTTAGGAACATGATGAATGATTACAAGTGCTGAAAAAGTAATGGATTATTTTTGAAGTGATGAGCTCTGGGAGCTCATCTAATTTAGGTTTCAGAAGAGGCTTGTTCCATACTGGTCCATTGCACAACGTCACTTACATAAAAAACTGCGAACCGTTTGTATTCTTTCCACGATTTGCCATGGAAAGCAAGAACGGTTTATCATGCTTTAGCGTAAAAGCTTCATCTAAAAAAATATTACATTAGCATCGGGGATATGCAGATCGAAATGCTTGAACCAACCATCGAACGTGCCGCCGTAAATTGATTCACCTCCAGTACCATTGCCGTTGGAAAAGTCTCCCGATTGAATCATAAAATCCTTAACAACTCGATGAAAAATTATTCCCTGCAACATAGAAAAGTATAATAAAACATGATTCCCTAAACCAAGAAAATTTCTGATTCTGATCTCTTTTAGGCTCACCTTGTAGTACAGTGGTTTGCAGGTTTTCTGTCCGATGCCTTTCTCACCAGTACATAGTGAGCGGAAGTTTTCACAAGTTTTGGGCGCAAGATCCGGATGAAGTTCGAACACAATACGGCCAGCCGGAAGGCCACCGAGAGTTATGTCGAAAAAACATCGAATTTTGGCCTGCCCAGTACCACCGGCATCTGGATTTACGTTCATCCTGTAGGCAGTTAGTACGTGTTTAGAGAAATCGATTCGCAATGAAAATGGCGTCAAACTATGCACTAAAAGTGCCACTTACTTTTCGTCGGAAATTACTTGCCAGTCAACAATGTAGGATGCATTTGTTGGTAAACGCTGTAGCACTCCGTTTGTTTGCTATTCAACTGATATTTTTTACAATCTACTCCGTAAATTAAACGTAATTCCCGATTTTCTTCGCGAGCTCACCCGATTTACCGGACCACGGACTGCGAACGAAAAATGTTTTCTTCTTCTTCAGCTCGTTTGACAAGAGCAAGGTATTTCATACTAGAAGGTATATTTACAGTAGAGGGCAATATCCGAGGGGCTTCTACACGAAACGAAAATCAATTGATGAATCTACGTTACGGTCGGCCAGCAGATGGAAATGATGTGAAAATGATAATGACGTTTTACTAGCGGTCAAATCGTATGGAATATTTTTTAGTACATCATCACTTTTGTGGTTTTGGATTTCAAACCTAGGTGTCGCATGCACTGGTGCAGTTTCGCGTAGATTCATCAATTATTTGATCCATGTGTTTCACTTATACATTTTTGCCAAAACATCAGCCTTATACATTCCATAAGACAAACCGCATAGGTCCTATAAGAATGCATAAAAGGTATGTGTGACCGCTAATACATTTCATTTGACACATGATCTTCATTAACTTTTTGCATGGCGTCTGACTTATCCAGCTTTCCATGCTCGGTAATGGCGGCCTGTTTGTATGAATAAATGTATCCTTCACTGTGCTTTTTGACACTATCTGGATGTTCGAATTTCAACCCCTTCCCTTTCCCTCTCCCAGGAACAGTAGAAAATGGAACAACATACGCCCTCCAGTCAAAAAGCACAGTGAAGGATACATTTATTCATACAAACAGGCTGCCATTACCGAGCATGGAAAGCTGGATACATTTTATGTATAATCAGCAATAGAAATTGGGTTCTTTAAGGGTATTGAGGTAAATGCATATTCGTAATCTGCATTAAACATGGAACCCAAACCCAAAGTTTCATAAATTTTTGTACACTGGAACTATTTAAATAAGTACGATTACATTTGCAAAAATCACCTTATTCGCGCTCCTCGGTGTCACTTTGTATGGGAGCGAGCTGTCAGTTTGTCAGTTTAGTGTCAAACAGTGAAGTTATTATTTTGCTTTATATCTTAATTTAAAAATCGAGATGAAAGTGTGTGGGTTCGAAAAAAATATCGCTGTGCTCAGAAAACGAAGCTCTTTCAGATGATAAATAAAAACGGATATATTTTTCGAAATTACAGAACCCAATTTGCCAAAAGGTATAAGGAGATTTCTATCCGTGTACATGTTTCTACTAAAGAGCCTGAAATTATAAAGAGGCAACATCTTATCCATTTGACAGGTCTTCTGCTCGATTGGAATGACTTTTCCTATGACTTTGATAGATAATCGATTGTTCCAATTTTGACATTTCAGGCTCTTTAGTTTCTACCAAGCGGGCTACCAAGCTTGTAAGGTGATCGGTACACGGCGAATGAGAACGACCCAAATTTGAGTTTAGTTCACTCATAATCGCCAAAAGTGCAGGAACTCAGCGATGAGTAAATTTGCCTCATGTTTTCCCAGGTTTTTCCAGGATTTTCCAGGGGAAAATTCCCGAATTTGAGAAAAGTAAAGATTGGATTCCCTCAGTCTATTGGTACTACTCCGAGACTGAATAAAATTTTCGTCAATTTCCTCATTTTCCGGCAGATGTTTTAGGTTTTCCACAGGAAACCCATGAGACAAATTTTTCTCATCGCTGAGTTCCTGCACTTTTGGCGATTATGAGTGAACTAAACTCAAATTTGGGTCGTTCTCATTCGCCGTGTACACTCAAAGATAAATTAAATCAAAAAAGCTTAAAAAGTATGCAGATTCCCACTTCACCTTATTGAGTCCGAGCCATGATTACTTCGGCAGTAGTCATGCATGATTAAATTCGAAATAATCTTACCGGTATTAAATTTTATTCTTTTTGAATATTAGTATATATTCAAAGAAGATTAAACTCCAATCGAAAATTATAAAAATTTAATCAAAAATGATTAAAATTTATTGAAAAAAGATTATTTTCAATCTAATCAACCATGATTAAACTGGTTTTAATATCAGATGATACAGTCCGCGCTTCTAATCAATGTCACAGTCATTCGCGACCGAGAAGACATCGTTGTTGGACGCCAAACAGGACCCGGCTATAATGGCAATAATCGGTATGCATTATTCAAAATACTGAATTGCCAAGACATGAACAATGTAAAAACACTTAGATATAAATCATAACAATTAAGGCTGGTACGTTACTGCAGTAACTGGAGCACCTAGGTTAAAATGAAATGTAATTTATTTTGAATTTGGAACAAATAAATAGTTAAAAAAAAAAAGGTATGCATTATTCTCATTTAAAACCTTCTGGAATATTTCTTGTGGTATACCCTACAGATTTAATCTAAAAGTATCCTTAGAGTTCTCTAGGAGTTTACCTCAGAATTGCCTTGGAATTTCACTAAGAATTATGTGTGTACTCTCCTTATAACTCTCCTAAAAATGTCCTTAGTAATTTCATCTCAGAATTAACTTGCTTCCTGAAAATTATTGAAATTCTCTTCTCATAATCCGCTTGCAATTCTTGTCCGAGTACCCTGGAGATTATCCTCAGAACCATGTCGGTATTCTTTTCGATTATGCTCAGAAGACCTATCCCTTAGAAATCTCCTTAGAATTGCCATAGAATTTTTCTCAGAGTTTCCTAGAATTACTTCAGGAATTGTCATCAGAATTTCCATGGAACTTTGCTCAGAATTTACATTGAATGCCCTTTGAAATCTCTTCAGATTTAAATTCACTTCATAATCCACCAGGAGTTTACCTCTCTATTCCCTCGGTATAATAACGACAATAATTCTTTTCAACCAGAGGGTAACAGACTCAAACACTTGAAACTAGACAGTGGACAACGGACAACACACAATACCCATGAGATCTGTAAGGAAATTTATTTTAGGTCCAGGATTTAAAAAAAAAGTAGAAGGGTCTGTGCCTAGGGGCACGAACGGAAGCTTGACGTAGGACCGCTAGTGGACGGAACAAATGCGAACATTTAGTTCTCTTAATTAACCACTTTATTCGAGTACTTAAAATGACGTTTACTACCACTCGAACTTTAAAATAAAATATTATTTTGAGATTTTTTTCTTCTAGAACCTCGAGAAAAGTAGCCAACATTTGTGTGTTTCATAAAAAAATATAAATTATTTGGTCCAATTTTGTGAAATCGCTGGTAAAAAGTCACGCCAAAACTGCTTGACAAAGTGGTCAATTGATCAATCATCAATTAATTACATCATTCGAGCAGTTAAAATGACGTTTACTACTACTTGAACTTTGAACTAAAACATTATTTTGAGATTTTTTTCTTCTAGAACCATGAGAAAAGTAGCCATAATTTGTGCGTTTCATAAAAATATAGAAATTAGTTGGTTCAGTTTTGTGAAATCGTTGGTAGAAAGTCACGCCAAAACTGCTTGACAAAGTGGTCAATTATCTTAACTCTTTCTGTTTTTTATTTGTAAGCGTATCAAATTTGTAGTATTTATTTCAAAGAGAAAGTTGATGAAGAGTATTTTCGATTCATCTACCCGTAAGGTGTATTTGAAAGGTGTATTTTGGATTTTTTGTTTTATTATGAATTTTTAAGTTTTGTGCATTTTGGTATTAAAGTGCATTCAATTCATTATGAAATATATTTTTCTTGTATAAAGTATTTTTAATGTATTTTTGAGTATTTTTATTATGGTATTTAAGTTTCAACGTGTACACATTTACTTATTTTTTTGTGTTTTTTCCCGAAGTGTGTATTTACAACTCAGCTGATCCCCTCGAGATAATCAATCAAAATCACTTGCACCCCTGCTTCCAAGTTTGATTACAAGATTACAACTCTGGAGAGCATTTTGTGTGGTTGTTGGTTCTGAATATGGACAAACAAGCACAGATGAATTCTATTCCAACTGTTTACTGTTATAAGCTTGTTGGCCCTGAAAAGGGCCGTTTTATTGTATACGACATCCATGGCCGCTTACGCTTGGCGTGTTCAGAGTAGGTGATAGCATCACCGACAAACCGACATGAATGATCAAACAAATTTCAAAGAAATTTCTGATCAAAGCATAAACCTAATATCTGCCGCCGTGTTCGCGGAAAATATTTATCCTAGCCACGAACACGCGTACAAAGTTTATGAGTTGGTTCATGTCTAATCTATTTCGGACAAATTATTTTTATCTAGATAACACATTTCTATGGTTTTGACAGATGGGGTCGCTTCACATTTGAATCGGCCGTTATGGATTCTCGATCAAGAGTTAAGTTTAAGTTTCATGTCGGTTTGTCGGTGATAGCATCACGGATTACATTTTCCAGGAACATCTTCAGCACACCACGTAGATCAGACCGGGGATACGTTTGACACCGCCAAGGCGAGCAAGACGACGGATGGTGGTTATCTCGAAGAACTTTACGATGACGCTTGGCACCTTTTCCTCCTTTACCACGACCAGTCACTTTTTTTTTTTTTTTTTTTTTTTTTTTTACTCTTTATTTGTTCCAAATTCAAAATAAATTACATTTCATTTTAACCTAGGTGCTCCAGTTACTGCAGTAACGTACCAGCCTTAATTGTTATGATATATATCTAAGTGTTTTTACATTGTTCATGTCTTGGCAATTCAGTATTTTAAACAGGTTTTTTAACCTGCATGTCAGTATAACAATTGATATCTTAAAACTAAAAACTAAAACTAAATCTTATCTAAGTATAAAGGGAATTAATCGTTGCAATTGAGGATTGCAACGATTTTTGCCTGAAATTATTAATTATTTTGTTGGACATTTGTGCTAAAGTCTCAACATTCGAAATTCTATGTACTTCGGTTGTACTGTACCAGGGAGGCAACTTCAAAATCATTTTCAGAATTTTGTTCTGAATCCTTTGAAGTGTTTTTTTCCTGGTAGTGCAACAACAAGACCATATTGGCACAGCGTAAAGCATGGCCGGTCTAAAAACTTGTTTAAATATTAGAAGTTTATTCGTCAGGCAAAGTTTGGATTTCCTGTTTATAAGAGGATACAAACATTTAATATATTTGTTACATTTGGCTTGAATGCCCTCAATGTGATCTTTAAAAG